GAGATTGAGACTCGCCGATTCCTGAAGCGTGTGTTTTCGAACCCCGAGCAACTGCAAGCTCATATTCGACAGTATGTTGTATGATTTACCATTGCATGAATGGGACCTTGAATCCTGATAGCACCGCTGGTGCTATCATTCTACAAATCTTTCATGGTTATGAGGTGAAGGAGAACAACGATCCATTTATCGACCTTGCGGACCGCGCTGTGGACCAATTCTCGCGGTCCACTGCTCCCGGCGCCTTCATGGTTGACATCATGCCATTCTGTAAGACTATAAGACTCTGACCTTTTCTGATCTGATCATTCCAGTGGCCAACGTCCCCGAGTGGTTCCCTGGTGCTGGCTTCAAGCGCTCAGCCCGTGAATGGTCCAAGACTCGCGAGGATATGGCTGCCATACCCTACAAGTTCGTTAAGGATCAGATGGTAATAAACATTTGTAGTTTTGCGATCACGAGTTGAACATTTCTCAGGCTGCTGGCATTGCCTCGACGTCTTTCACCTCGAATCTTTTAGAAGGTCGTACTTTATCTGTGGAAGAAGAAGATGTGGTGATGTGGTCTGCTGCAACCCTATACTCGGGTGGTGCCGACACGGTTGGCTCCTCCCTTCATATCACAATATTTTAAGACTAACACCTGTCTCCACAGACAGTTTCTCCAATCTACGCGTTTTCCCTTGCTATGACACTGTTCCCTGATGTGCAGAAGAAGGCCCAGGCTGAAATAAACGCCGTTGTTGGTCCTGATCGTCTTCCCTCCTTCGCAGATCGCGACTCTCTTCCTTATACTGAGGCCCTTGTGAAAGAAGTTTTTCGCTGGAGTGTTGTCGGCCCCACCGGTATGTGGATCTCGTTTGTCGCATTCTTTATGCCGAACGGTATTGATCGCTCAATTGACAGCTATGTCCCATCGCGTCACAGAGGACGATATCCATGACGGGTACTACATCCCAAAAGGTTCCTTGGTAATACCTAACATTTGGTTAGTACTTTGATTTTTCCGTATTCAACATATTAACCAAATTGAGAGGCAGGTTCATGCTTAATGACCCGCAGACATATGCTAATCCCTCGCAATTCAACCCTGAACGCTTCTTGGACAATAACGGAAAAGATCCCGAACTCGAACCTCACAAGATCTGCTTTGGTTTTGGTAGACGGTAAGCATGGAGTTGATTTTAAGTGCAATGCTAACTTTCTGCTCTGTAGTATCTGCCCCGGTACGTCTAAATCATGCTCAACAAACAGTATTTTGACATTGTTTGCCTTCATGGACAGGTCTCCACCTAGCTGATGCCTCCGTCTGGATATCCACTGTGATGTCACTCGCAGTGTTTGATATCTCCAAAGTTGTTGAGAAGGGTGTCGAAATCACCCCTGAAGTTGACCATACATCAGGCACGGTCAGGTATGTCGTGCATCTTATCGCATCCGCAATGCTGGTTTGATAGATGCACTCCCAGTCACCCCAAGCCGTTCAAGTGCTTTATCAAGCCTCGCTCTGCCAAAGCCATTGCGCTCATTCAGCGGGATGTCAACTATTAATTCTGATCATCTAAATCTGTCATACATTCCCACATTGCACATATTTTGTTTCATCTTGTTGAATCAATGCTACTCATGGTCTACATTATAATACACACATCTAGCACCCCCCGCCCAACAATAAAGAGCACGATCACGCCCTTGAGCTCTCCTGTCAATGACCGATGCCTTGACGCGTGTCAACTATCCTTGACTACTACCATCTCACGTCGTTGTGAACCCTCTCAACCGTGGAGCTCCAAGCCTTGTGAACATCGAAAACATATTCAAACACCGTAGCCTGTCTATCAACTTCAAAAGTTCTGCCGGCCCCAGTGTGAGGAATGTCATCACCGCGTGTCCCGTCGTGCCATTACATTGCATGAAGGAATTCAAGGCATGGGAAGGTACACAAAGTGGTGATGGTGCTTTATATACAGGACGACGCGAGTGTCCCTTCACTTCCATGTGAGTAAGGCAATCCCAGTGCACCATAGGTTGGACGTAAACGAAAGTACTTGTGTTTCAGCTTGCAGTGGATCATCGAATGGTGCTTCTAAATGATAGCGCGCCCTGACTACACAAGTTGCTCAAGTCATTGATAACAGAAAATCAGCTTAATCGCCGTCGGAGTACTACTGACATACGCACGAGACCTCTCAAGAATGAGAATCAAATAGTTAAGCATACACCAGACAGTCTGGCAACATTGGCGTTTGATAAGTGTTAGACAAAACCTATCATAAATAAGCACTGGAAACATTGAAGTATGAGATTCGTCGCAGTACTGGCATCACTGAAAGCCAACCAGCATGAGATGACAACATTCACCTTTTAAGTTGGGCGAAATCTGATTCACCCTTAAATGCCTATATGTGGTCCCCGACATCCACGTTGAGACAACTCATCCCCAGAAAGAGATGGCTGACGAGATGGCTGACGATAGCCATCTTCAACTATAGACTGAGCTATGCCATCATAAGTGGCATATACGCACGCCTCAGCGTCGAATGCCAGCAACCACTCTGGCATGGGAAGCTCGAAACTTTTCCCGGAGTCACCAGGTTTAGCCCCATGCCATTTATTACGCGTAGTCCCCCCCAACAGCTGTGCATCACGCACCCGTTGATACCTGTACAATATGATGCAGAAGTTTCCGCATCTTTTTTGGGGCAAATTATTCCACATACCGGATGGATTCCCATGTCCTTGTGCCTAGTGGAACACTGTTTTTGCCAGCAAGATTCAGGGTAACTGCTAGAGTTGTGCCATCCTCAATGGCCTGAGATGCGCCCTGCATGCTTGATCTGCGAACCACATGGTGAGCAAACGGAATCAGCATCAATCAGCCATACTTCCTCACGGTAAGAACGGGTGAGCAGCATCACCAATCAATACTATGCGACCAGATTTGCTGACCCAAGTAGGAAGAGGGTCATGTACGAGAAGCTTCCAGTCGATGCACGAGGGAGCTTTGGAGACGACTGCAGCGCACCGTGGGTCCCAGTCTTTCACAATGTCGAGTACGTCTTCTATCTTACCCGGGGACGACCAGTCGCCATCAACAGCTGTGTTGTCTCTAAAATTTTACTATTTAGCTCCGAATATCACGAAAAGTACAATTCACACACTTGTGAGTGATAAAAAAACAAATAACTTTACCTCCAAAGGAGGAACTTGCTATAAAGTGCACGTCTTTACCTACGAGGGGTGAGTACTGAGTAATGAAGAAAACCTGGTGGACAACCCCACCTACCAATCCACGCGTGCAACTGATCCCCATGAATGGTCAGGAAGTCAGTCAATGGGTCTGTCGTAATACCGTGCTCTTCAGCGTCGAACCACGCTCGGTAAATAGCGTAACCAGAAGGTTGGGGTTGTCGCAGTACCCCTTCATTGATGTTGACCGGTAAGTTAACCAACAAGGTAAAATTCCAACTTACGATAACAAATTTTCTCGCCAAACTCTTCACTCCATCTGCAGCAACGATGACATCGGCATCAAACGTTTCACCTGTTTGGATTTTGACACCAGCCTTTCTATTTGCTTCATCCTCCCGATATTCTACGACCTGATGTCCCATGCGAATCTCGATGCCCAAGGACTTCGCATGCTCCAAAAGGACTTCGTGAAGAAGCGCTCGATGACCATTGTAAGCGAACGCTCCGAAAAGCGGTAAGGACAGCTCTTGCACTTGAATGAGACCTCCGAGGTAATCATGAACGTGAAGTTCGCGTGCGTTGACGGAGACGTCCCACAATCTGTCGCATCTTCAATTACTTTGATCAGAAAAACGACCTTTATTGTACTTGTCATGGAGGCCCCATTTGGCCAGGATGCGACCAGCATTTACGCCAAGGCTCAGCATCTAGTACTTTGTCAGCCCTCAAGCTGCGAATCATCACCCCAAATGAACTCACGTCGCCTTGATTCCGCCATCAGTTCAGAACAATAGGTATGCGATAGTTACTGACCTAGGTGCTTCAATTCATGTACTTTCTCAAGGATCATCACTCGGTGACCCTTTCTTTTGCACTCAATTGCACAGGCAATACCTCCAAAGCCAGCGCCGACGACAATGACATCAATTCCTGTGTCATGAACGCCATCACCAGTAAGAGGTACTTGATCCTGATGTTCCGCCATGATAGTTGATTAGCACAGTAATGAGAACGTGCTATAAGAACCCCAATCAGTTACGTGTGCCACACCATACCGAAGATGGACAAATGCGCAATGCGATGGTCGGGCATTGGATCAAAATATTTGCCGGAGCACCTTATCTACACACGTCATTGTGGGTACCGAGTAACTTTGGCTTCTCGAGTGTTATCATGTGAGTTGAATGCCAAACATGGATGTCTTGTATCAACTCACCATCATACAACGATTGTGACACCGAAGCGTCAGGTTCAATTGCTTGCAACAGCACAAAAATGCTTGGATTGCATGTCGACCTTAAAGCTATCTTGTGCGTCACTGAGCACTTGTAAGCATTTCCGAGTTAAGTCACCAGTAGTATATTACCAGTCGGACTGATGCATATCTTGGAGTGTTTGGACAATCAGAACGAACTTCAACGAAGCGTATTCGCTGTAGTGAACTAGCAGTCACCCGGACCTTCAGTAAGTCTCACCATGTTGCGCCGAGCCAGTGATTCGGTATGAGAACTGTGAGGTGGTGTCCTGATATAGTATTGAATCGAGAGTGCAAGCTTGAAATGACCAGGTCATCCCCCAGGCCCAGAACACCCTCAAGTTTTGTAGAAGTACGGTCGCGGAAGGATGCGCACGAACAAATATTGCTAGACTCTGGGGGATCATCGGCTTTGTCGATCCTGTCAGAAAATATTCACGCAGGGTCTCGACTGAGTTGGTTCCAATGAGTCTGTTCCAATACGGTTCTGAAAGGTACGTGATTGCAACCGACTTCGGAAATTTCCGACATTACTCATTCTCTTCTACTGGGTCATGTTGATACCTAACGTCACTTGGCTGGACTTATGCCTTGCTGGCATCGGAGCATACCTGGTCAAGCAGGTGTTGAACAAGAATCTTACACCATATCCTCCCGGCCCCCGTGGGTGGCCTCTCGTTGGGAACATCCAAGACATACCTCAAATCAAGCCTTGGCTCACCTTTGCGGAGTGGGGAAAGAAGTATGGTGAGTGTCCCCTGTTGTTCCAAAATAATGCATTCAAATTCTGTGCTTTCTAGGTGCTATCTCGCATGTTGAGATCCTGGGTCAGCACATCATCGTACTAAATCAGTCAAGAGTGCGGTGGACATGTTAGACAAGAAAGGTGCTGTTTACTCTGACCGTCCTGTTCTACCTATGGGTGGCGAACTTGTTGGCTGGAAATCCACTTTGGTTCTTCTTCCGTATGGTGACCTCTGTCGCCAGCAGCGCAAGAACATACACCAAACCATGGGCAATCGCGCCACCTTGGAAATCTACCACCCAATCGAGGAGATTGAATTTCACCGATTCCTGAAGCGTGTGTTTTTGAACCCCGAGCAACTGCAAGCTCATATTCAACAGTATGTTGTACGATTTACCCTTGCATGAATGGGACCTTGAATTCTTATAGCACCGCTGGTGCTATCATTCTGCGAATCTCTCACGGTTATGAGGTGAAGGAGAATAACGATCCATTTATCGACCTCGTGGACCGCGCCATGGACCAATTCTTGCGGTGTACTACTCCCGGCGCGTTCATGGTTGACATCATGCCATCATGTAAGACAATAGGACTCTGAATTTTACTTGTAATTGGTCTGATTGTTTCCAGTGGCCAACGTCCCCGAGTGGTTCCCCGGTGCTGGCTTTAAACGCTTAGCGCGTGAATGGTCCAAGACTCGCGAGGATATGGCTGCCATACCCTACAAGTTCGTTAAAGATCAGATGGTAACAAGCATTTATAGTTTTGCAATCACGAGTTGAACGTTTCACAGGCTGCTGGCACTGCCCTGACGTCTTTCACCTCGAATTTGTTGGTGGGCCGTTCTTTATCTGCGGAAGAGGATGACATGGTGATGTGGTCTGCTGCAACCCTATACGCTGCTGGTTCCGAGACGGTTGGCTACCCCCTTTATGTCATTATATTTGAAACTAACACCTCTCTCCACAGACAGTTTCTACAATCTACTCATTTTTCCTTGCTATGACACTGTTCCCTGATGTGCAGAAGAAGGCCCAGGCTGAAATAGACGCCGTTGTTGGTCCTGATCGTCTTCCCTCCTTCGCGATCGCGACTCTCTTCCTTATACTGAGGCCCTTGTGAAAGAAGTTTTTCGCTGGAGTGTTGTCGGCCCTACCGGTATGTGGATCTCACTATC